AATTTTGTATCAGCTTTTGAGATGCAAAATTTCTACTGCTAATGAGTGTAAATAATACAAAGAAAAACAAATTTTGTATAAGGTAAGAACGCAAATCATAGTTACATACAAACGGATAGAAAATAATAAAGAAAAACAAGAGAACAGAAGAAAACAAAAAAAAAGGTGGTCCAGTGTCGGTAGTAGGAATATAAAAGGTTTGGGAGGTTTCACATCCACAGAGACGGCAGGAAATTAAAATATGATTCACGAGAGGAAGGCGAAAGGCCGTCCACCTATCCACTACTCCAATCCACAATCAATAAACGGTTTCTGGAGCAAATATGTGGTAACCTCAGTAAATGAATGTGATGTGTCAGCAATCGAGCAATCTCAATCAGAATTGGCCTTTCATGAATGTGATATCATTAATTAATACCTTAACTTTACAAGGCTATATTATATATTATCGGAAATACTCCCTTGAGATTAATGCTTAATGCCCCTAAAATTGATAATACTTATACGACATTGTTTTTTAGTTTAATATGGTACGAGCAATAAGACAGAAGACAAGGCCAATCAGCAGAATTCAGAATATGGGTTGGCCGTGGTAGATATTTATCAGGCGTAAATGTGTCGTCGATTCATATTCCAGACACAGAGAGAGAGAGAGAGTGACTATGTACACCTGTAAGCAGCTCAACCTCTGGAGTCTGGACATGGCGGATTTCAAACTTCAATCAAAGGAGCATCTGGGGAGGATGTAGAGTAGAGTAGAGTAGAGAAAACTGAGAAGGTACGGGCTCTTTGTCTTGGAACTTGGAAGTTGGAACCAAGCGGTTCGACTTCGACAATGTTCTACTTAGGTTCGGTTTTGAAATTGAATATGAACGGTCGGATGGGGGGAACCTAAGAGCATTCATTCCTACTCCTACCCAAGTACCCATGGCCTTGGGTGGGCCAGGTTTTGTTTGGTTTGGATTCCATTACCCGAAGTCATCCGCGTTATATTCAATTTGAAAATTGAAATTTATGGTGGTATTATCAAATCAAACAAACTCTACAGATATTAGCTATCTATCATGAAATTCTTATTTCATATTTGTTTGGATACAGTAGTAGTATAAGCTCCAGAAGCATAGATGATAGAATTCCTAGCGCTTGCGCTTGGCTAATAGCTCTGTCCCTCTTCTGCTTTCTGTTGTTTGCTAATGAAACTTGTTTATCACCAAGAACCAAAAAAAAAAAAAAAAAAATGACAATTCTTTAAATTGTCAATGGAATTAATGCAAGCGGCTTGATATACATATTTATTCACGACCCCTCTTCCGAGTTCCGACATAACAAATCATCGCACCTTCCCCTCAACTTCTAATGCATGTACGGAAGATCTTTCTTGGATGTCATGTTCTTAAAATTTCTACTTTCAGCAGATATGGATTTAGACCATATTTAGTTCACTGTTTTGGATCTCATTCTTTTAATTCTTGTTTATTTTGGATAAAAATGTATAACATTAGTCTTTAGTTACAAAATTCTTACCATGGGTTACATTCTTTTTAGAATGAAAAATCAGCCTATAACACAAAAATTGAAGTAACCTACAGCATAAAAGATAATCATACCCCATCTTACTCATTTTTATTATTTGAAGAAAATATGCTTACAAAATTGCTTCCATAGATGTTTACTAGTGCATTACTGTAGAAGTACCTTTACAAAAGCAATTTTATGAAAGTACTTTTACATAAAAGCACTTTTATAAAAGTACTTTTACGAAAGCATTTTTATAAAAACACTTTTACAGAAGTACTTTTATAAAAGCACTTTTTCAGAAAATACTTTTATAAAAGCACTTTTTCAGAAATACTTTTATAAAAGCACTTTTACGAAAGTACTTTTATTATCAAAGTATTTTTATGAAAGCACTTTTGCAAAAGTATTTTACATAGGACACTTGTCAATCTAAAAAGTGTTTAGTTTGTAGCAATATTTTCTCATTCTACCTATTTTTACCCATTCTTGTAAATTTTAGAATTTCATCTTGAGTACGAATGAAAAAGAATGAGAATTGAACCAAAATGACCTTAATCTCTCACATGATATTTATGGTGGGGTTCGGGCATTATCATTGATTCCATAGCCCGTTGCAAAACCATTGAGTTCTGCTATCTGCTATTCCAAATTAGTTTAGTAACATGACTTTTGACTTTAAGCCATGTACAAATTGATTTTCGAGGGATGGAGGGAGTGGCTTCTTCTTATCTTCAAACACAGCTTTCGGGGGGGGGGGGGGAATGATTCTATAATAATGTTTTTATTTTCAGTTGTGTTTGAAACTGCTACATGCAAAAACAATTTGGTGTTTTATTTGGGAAAAATGCGTTTTTTAAACCATCAAAATAGTCGTTAGAATAAAAACAATTGGAGTACAGATTGTATGATTTATGAAAGATGATAAGAGATCATTAGATGTAGACATGTTTTTTAACATGTTTTTGGTTTCAGACCTAGAAATAAAGAAGACATATACAACCAAGAACATATTTTCCATGTTTTTGTCAATATGGTTTTGATATGTAGGGAAAATCTATGATGCGGAAATGACATGATATGAAAAGAGTTTTACCAATCAAAACCCACTCATGAATTTTGATAAATAATACCTGATTGGCTAACTAGTCGGAAAATTTTCAAATATCATATCTTTCCCATATCATAGTCGAAGCTTTTGTTTTAAGAACTCACAATAAGGAAAACAATCACGTTAGAAACAGTCCCTAGTGTTTTTTCTTTACTACCAAGTACTTTAAAGGTAGTGGCAATTACTCGCTGAACTTTTAGATTCGAACAAAAAAACCCATCTCTAGTAATTTGAGTGATGGAAGTTAATGGAATTCGCAACAAAAAAAAAAAGGTAAAATACAAAAACCTCCCCTAAAGTTTTTGACAATCATAAAAACGTTGCCTATAGTTTCATTTTTAACAAATACCTCCCCTGAACTTTTGAAAAACTCGACAAAAACCTCCCTTCCATCACCTTCCCAAGTGGAAAATGTTAGATAGATGCACTAGCTTTTTCCAAATACCCATTCTACCCTTTTATAAACTATTTTACATACAAAATTACCAAAATAACCCTGTTTTTACTCAACACAAATGTTAGAAGATGACTGTTAGAGGAGGTTTTTGTCAAGCTAAAATAGGGTTACTTCAGTAATTTTGTATGTAAAATAGCTTGTAAAAGGGTAGAATGGGTATTTGAAAAAAAAACTGATGCATCAATCTAACATTTTCTATCTGGGAAGGTGACCGAAGGGAGGTTTTTGTCAAGTTTCTCAAAAGTTCAAGCAAGGTATTTATTAAAATGAAACTATAGGGGAGGTTTTTATGATTGTCAGAAACTTCAGAGACCTTTCTTTGTATTTCTCATCAGTTGTCTCTCATTCTTTTTCGTTGCTTTTGTGCTTTTGTAGGTCAATGCAACAATGGCCAATGACTAACGCAACGATGCTCGTCGCCATCAGTTGTCTCTCATCAGGGGTTTTGTTGCCAATGGAAACCTTTAGTAAGGAAATCCTTGGATCGATCAAGTAGCAGATACCAATATGCAACACTTGTTCAATTTTATGCAATTGAACAAGTATGAAAATATTTTTGCTGAATTTTCTTTTAAAATTTATTTTTCTATGTTTAGTTTGTGCTAATTGTTCGAATGTAGCCGTTGTTGATTTACCAATTTTCTTTGAATTTTTTGCACTTCTTATATTTTTTTCAAATTTTTCCATGTAATTTTTTTCATTTTCATGTTTTCTATAATTTTTATTGTTTTTTTACACTTTCTGTTTTTTTTTTTTTGCAATTTAAACATTTTCCTGTATTTTTTGTTATTCATTTGCAACTTTTTGTATTTTTCCCATCATTTTTGTTGTTTTTATAATTTCTTAGGTTTTTCTTAAATTTTTATTTTTTTCAATTTTTATATTTTTCTGAAACTCTGCATTTTTTCTACAATTTCTATTTTTATGTGAAACGATACTTTCATTTAAATTATTATTATTTTATTTTTTCTATGACATTTTACATGAAATATATTTATCATTTTTAGTGTTTCTAAAGCATTTTTTAACTTTTATTTGAAAATTAATTTTTTGAACTTTTTATTATTTTTTATGTTTTCTTAGTTGAAATATATATTTATATATTTTTGTGCATTTGAAATAAATAATAAGTTAAAAAAGAAGTCCAATTTGGATCAGGGTGAGTCATATGGGTAAGTTAGGGTTAGGGTGGGTTATGACGAAATTCGCATTAGCTGAAAGTTTTGGCTGTTCAGCAGGCCATGGAACCTTATCATAAGGTTCCATGCCAGTATTAAATACACAGGGCCCACATTTTTTATAATAGGGCCCTTGAATTTAATACTGGCAGTAACAGCTAAAGTGTTCAGCTAAACCTTATTTGGTTATGACTCACTAACCTCAATAAATATTTGTGACAAATAAGTTAGAGGATCAATAGAGGTGAGTTGGTACTCAACCCACAACCACCCCACCCATTTGATATTCCTACTTTCAAATAATCGAGACTGCATCCTACAGACGGCGCCCCACAAACAGCCTACATGTATTGGGATCATCTCCCAAAGTTGTTTCAAATACACGGTTGGATATATCCTGTGAGGCGTTTGCAGGGCGGGCGCGGACGTGGATTCCAAATAAACTCTTTCAAAGTTTATCAATTTGCTCTTGAGATATATCCTTGTGAGTTTGACAAACCTCCCAAAGAGTGTGTTGCTCCTTGCTCCTATACAGCACGACCAAGTATACAAGTGCAGTCAATGGTAGGTACCGTAGATTTTACAGGTTACTCGGTCAAAGTTCAGGACATCGAATAAGTGAAAATTTAATAATCAAATGGTGGCACTGACATACATCAATTGTAACATCGGGTAGCCATAATTGAGATACCGACAAAGGAGACAACATGATAAAGAAACATATCTGAACTCAATAATATTAACATCAAGTTACACAATCCTTTCTTATAACTACTCAGAATATAATACATCTGTAAAGCATGCGTCGAATTACTAATCCATCCAACAAATCTGTACGGTAAATGAAAGAGGTAAACAACAAAATGTAATTTTAATAGAAAAAAAAAATGGACTACTTACAATGACATTTCGAAAACCCAACTTCTCATTGCATCAAGAAATATGGATGTAACCCTGATTTACACTTCACAAAACAATTTAAGAATATTCCTTAATAGAAAAAATAAAAATAAACTATGCAGATTCTTTAGAAACTATTCACATATTCTGTGCTGGTTAATGACCTTTCTTCTGTAATACTTCTTTTAGTCTACTGTTAGCCAATACTTCTCTATTCACAGCTCCTCAATTCACCAAGGAAAAATGTCGAAGAACATCTAGATCAACTGCAGGCAATGAAATCTAAACTCTACACAAAATTCAGAATCTTCCTTCTAGGCCCATGTCTTGAGAGAGCTTCTAGCTAAAAAGGAGTCTGTCAGTAAATCCAATAATCACAAAATTGTAGCCAAAAGAGCATCCAATGTTACACCATAAACAGGTAGTTCAAGTCCTCTACTGTAAGGCGACTCTGGCGACTGCCCGTCACATCCTCTCCAAATGCAGATGCCACCATCTCTCTCTTTTTTTGCTGCATAACCCACATATTTTATGAGTGTTGTTGGTCAATTGAGAGAATAGATTAAAGTGAAATTTTCAAGTCAGAACTAGGAGATAATTGGTAAAAATGCAAATTTCCTTATCAAAGATCCATTAAAAGAATGGAAAACAAAGAGGTTCTGTAGCAAGTAAACATAGAACATGAGAACTCAGTACAAGAGGGTTTCTTAGGACTTTGACTAGCACAAGGTTCATAAAATCGTTACGTATTGGCCGATATGGGCCTATACGTGGCCTTTCCCGATACGCCCCTACAGGGGTTGTATCAGGTCAGGTCCTGGTTCAGAGGGTATCCGGGACTTAAACTGGCCCCTCTGAACCAAAATTGAAAAAAGAAATAAGTTAAAAAAAGGACCTATACGCCCTACCAGCGTATCGGCCAGTATCGATACTTTGAACCTTAGACTAGCATGTAAACACAATATACGTGAACTAATGCAATTCAATTAGAAAACAAAAAACTCATTATCGTCTAAGCCTTGTCCAAACTATATGGGTCAGCTACATGAGTCCTGTTTCACCATTCTCTCCTGTTTAGTGCCAGAAAATAAAAACTATAAGATGATATAACAAAACTATACCTGAAGAGCCAATATCCGATCCTCAACTGTATCTTTCACAGTTAATCTTAAAACGGTGACAGGACGAGTCTGCCCAATTCGATGTGCTCTATCAATTGCTTGATCTTCAGTTGTTGGATTCCACCATAGGTCCAGAAGGAGAACATGACATGCTGCTACCATGTTCAACCCAAGACTTGCTGCTTTCAAAGACATAATCATAACAGAAACCTATAATGGACAATGAGGAATCACATTTAAGTAAATTCATGAGAAATGCAAAGTCTTAATTTAATTGAACACAAGAATGATTTTGGCATTGTTCTCCAAAAGAGGTTTCTGCAAATCTAGAGAAACTAATAATGAAATTATAAAACAATGAGGGTTTTCAGAAATCAGAACCAAACCTCTGGAAGGGTGTTAAAATCCTTCAGAGCTTTGTCCCTAGCAGCAACTGACATTGTCCCATCAAGTCTTCTGTATTGTATAGAAGAACTTTTAAGACGAGCTTCAAGCAAATCCAACATCCTTGTCCATTGGGAGAAGACAATTGCTTTCTCCGCTACTTTACTTTTGTCAGGTATATCCTTAAATGAAGAACCTGAATGAGAATCAGACCTATCTTCTGAACAGCTAGTAATCTCATTAGTACAGTTCAAAGCATTATCCATTGAGGCACACTCTAATGGTTTAGATAGTGACTTCAGGACCTCAAGAGCAGCTTTGACTTTGGATGAATCAGAGGAAAAATACTCTGAACACCGAACATGCTGAGAGGTAGAATGATCATTGTAACAATCCTGACTAGACTGGTCAGAGAGTGAGCATTTTATGGTGGCCCTAGAAAACACCGAGGTTACACTGAGTTGAGCTTTGCAGTGTACTGAAGGGCACAGATTATCATCACCTGTTAGATGTTCACAGATGCATTGGTTGCAGAAAACATGGCCACAGATAGTAACAACAGCATCTTCAGGTGAGTCCTATAAAAACAACACGGGGTAATGTGTCAATAAACAGAAAACATGACTGCAGATAGCTAATAATTTCATTCATGAAGATTCTGTTGAGGAGCACCAACAGAAGTTGGATAATAAATAAATAAAGTGCGCTTTAATCTTTCTTTCGGTCACAAAAAGTAATACAAACAAATATTTTTGTTAAAATTAACTATACTGAATTTCATTCCTCAATAAGAGAAATGCTTGACCACAGGAATCAGACTAAAATAAAAAAGACAGCTAAAAACTGACCAGAAACTGATAACGGATATTATAAGAGAATGGTTGCAACAATCACCCTAGTACGGGATAGCCCCAAACAAAGTCAGAACAAAGACTCCTGCTTAGGCTAAACTGCTAGCAGCTGCATTAGCACTTATTGGAACTTAGCTCAACGAGTAATTCAATTGTCCTTCCATGGCAGGGATCTCCCTAACAATAAATCTGAACTCCCATGGAACTTCCTTTCCTGTCTTTAACCATGGATGGCAACCTGGCAGTCTCCCTCAATCAGTAAGGTGTTTAACCTGTTCGCAGCAGCTAATTTTAGCCCCTGTAGCACAGCAAGTAGCACATCCCTCAAAGAATTCCAAGTATCCAGAGGTCCAGAATAACTTAATGTGATGTTGCCTTCGTCACCCCTCACAATTCCTCCAATCCCAGAATCACCCACATTTGTGATGCTGCACCCATCAACATTTATTTTCTAAGTGCCAACCCTGAGGACACCAGTGTTATTGTCATCTCAATTTGCTTCTGGATTCTGTCACTACCATGCACCACCCCTCTTAGGATGTCAGACAAATATGTCCCCCTTTAAACTCTTCTGTCATCATTACCCAATGAACAACTTTTAACTTTATAAGTCGTATCATATTCTCAGGTTGTTGCTCCTTATCTTCATAGAATCTTGCATTCTTGTTTCCCCATATACACCATAGAATAGCATTTCTAATACAATGCCACACTACCTTCATTCTTTTGGACCCTAATTTGAAAGGATACCACCCAAACAGCTCCATAATGTTTGATGGAGCCATGCATGTCATCCAAAATAAAGAAAAAAAAAAAAGTGAATATAGATCCTAGAAGTGACAAGACAGTAATAGAAGATTAGTGTGCTTTTGCCATTCCTCAAACATAGAATGCACACATGGGAAGAGAAACACCAGGTTTCTATTTACTTTGGAGCCTCTCACTCGTGTTGATTATTTGAAGGGCTGCCTTCCAACAGAAAACTTGACTTTGGGTGACGGACCATTCCAAATGACTTTCCAAAGGGAAAGGGAAGGTGGAAAGAGCACAAGCAAAGAGCTTTGAAGAAACAAAAAAAAAAAAGAAAAAATAAATAAACAGTAAATGAACCACTGGAATGAGGTGCTCACCCCTCTCATTCCCACCAGTCTGGTTGATCATTGATGACCTCTTGGTTCAGTATGTTTATCAGATTTTCTACCTCCCCATGTCCCTCAAACCCCTTCTCCACCCAAGGTTCCAAGGTAAAATGCCCATTTTCAAATGAAATGAAATCTGAAATTGGTCTATGTTTAAAAGAAGAAACACCATATAAATGAGGAAAAGACTCACAAAGAGGCTGATTGCCCCCACAACAAATCTTCTCAAAATTTTACGTTTCTTCTCTTTAAGGGATATACCTGGTGTGCTGAATAAGGTAGGTAGAATGGACAAAACAGGAAAGGACATCTCAGGTTCGAATTTCAAGATAGCTCAAAATCCCACCCATTAGGATTTTGTCCGTAAATTCTCCTAATCACCAAGTGCCACAATTCTAACTCTCTTTGGGGAATCTCCACAACCATTTCTCCAACATAGCTAAATTTTTGTCTTTTGAGTCTACCAATCCTAAATTTTTTGTTAAATTGACCCAATTTTCAAGGTAATCCGTCTTCTCCTACCCAAGGTACCATAGGAAATTTCTTATTATCTCTTCAATTCTTTTAATCACCTTCATCAGGGCTTTAAAAAGGGACAAGAAGTAAACAAGAAGGTTAGAGAAGGTAGATTTTATTAATGTAAGCCTCTTACCCTTGGATATGCAACTTTTTTCTTTCAAACCACCAATGTAACCTCGCCACCACTCTCCCAAAATCCCAATTCCCTTGGATTTCCCCCAAGGATAAACCCAAGTGTTTTATTGTCCAAGCTTTTATCTCATATCTCAATAATCCTGCACACCTAGCCAACTCATAAAGTTGTAAATTCAATCCAACTAAACTACATTTAGCTGCATTTGTTTTCAACCCTGATACTCTCTAGTCTCTCCACTAAAGCTTTTGCTAGCAGGCACTAAAAATTTTGCCAAACATTTATGATTATGGATCCTGATTTCAATTTTTGTGCTCATGTTTGGGCATTATCCAGAAACGATGTGATAGATATGGCTTTAAACAGGACAGAATGGCAAAAAGGATTCATGTACAACCTCATAGTTGGTGTTGAGAGAAATATTGTAATTATTGTATTTGGGTATATTTGTAATATTGATAAATTATGGGGACCTATATGTATTTATGGGAGAAAAAGGGGCTTCTGTATAATTCTGGTATATTTCGGTCCGTTGCTTATTTAAGCTAGTGGTTGTGTGAGAATAGGGTTTGAGGAAGAGTGAGGAAGAGAGAGTGTAGGAGTGAAGCCATGTATCTCTTGTTCTCATAGTAGATATTTTTCCTCTCCTCCCGTGGATGTAGGCTACCAAGCTTAACCATGTTAAATCTTGGTGTTCTCTCTATTTCTTCTTCTTCTTTTCTCCTTGATTTGCTATTCTGCTTTATGTTACTTGACATGGTATCAAAGCCATTTTACATTGTTTAACAATTGGGGTAACGATTGGATGATGATGATGATGACAACAACGACGATACTCTCCACTAATTCTAAAACTCTTTTGAGATTTGTCACCTCCTTACATCTCCTAAAACACACATATATCCAATTACGTCTCTTAAACTCCCCCAAAATGACAATATCATCTGCAAATCACAAGTGGGACACAACTCTCTTTGCTCTTCCAACCTTAAAACACACACATATCCAATTGCATTTTTTCCCTCAGATTATTCTTGGAACTTGGAATTTTACTGAAACTTTTAATATCCTACAACCTACAATTAATGAGGTGTGTGCTTATATAGATTAGTTGAGAGAATTTCTTGTATCCTAATGGTTATGACAGTAAAGTTTATTGAATCCCATTGTAAGTTCACTCACTTGTTCTTAGCTTTTAGAGTCCATTGAACTCCACCTACAAATCACACAAACAAGAAAAAACAAGGACCTAGACTGGGCGGAGCCAGGAATTTTTTGTGAGGAGGGCCAAAACCTAAAATGGATTGGGGGCAGGGAGAGTAATTACAGTTGGGCCATTAGGGGGGCCAACCATTAGGGTGGGGAGTGGGAGAGGGGGAAAATCCACTTGTAAAGGTGGGGATTTTTTGGGCCATAGGGGAGGCATGGCTCCCCTAGGTCCCCTTGGCTCTGCCCCTAGGCTAGAAAAAGGAAAATGAGGAAGAGCAGAAGGGGGGAGGGGGGAAGAAAGATTTTTTTTTTTTTATAAGTTTAGAAAATTGTTTTCTTCTTCTGAAAACTGTCCTAGAAAGGTCATGCCCCTCCTTCACAAGATTAGAGTGTACATTCTTTCTTTTCTGGTGGAGGTTTTTTGTACTTTTGAATGTTTTTTTTTTTTTGCTGATTCTAGTGTTCATTTAAAGAAAATGAAACAAGACTATCTGGGAAAGTAAGAACCACAAAATAGCTCGGGTCCCCCCAATTTTGGTAATCTTGCTATAGTTGAGATATTGTCCATCCTTTAGAGGCTTATAGCATCATACCTCTTGGTCTCAGAAGGACCATGGTCTGGGCTGGGTAGAAAAAGAAAATAAAAAGAGGATATATCCTAGGTCTGATAAGGTATGAAACAAAGTATTTCTAGATAGAATGGAAACTTCTTTTGGAAAAGTTGCCTTTTAAAAAACAATTTATTCAATTTTTCCATTCTTGTTTTCCCTAAACGGTAGAACAAAAGTACTTAGAAACTCAAAAATAGTTCAAAGCAACAACAAAACTTTTAATAAAATTGGCATGAAAAGCATCATACCTAGGCATTGATCTGTTCCTTATACTGTTTTGTGTGTGTGTGTGTGTGTGTGTTTATAAAGGTTCCCTGTACTAGGGTAATTGTTCGATTGGATTTTGCATGTGTGTGTGTGTTGAAGGCATTTTTTTAATCCAAATAATATTTAATAATTTAATAACCCTAATAAGTGGGTTAGCTAGTCGGCTAGCCAAACTATCAAAACTATAAAAAATTATCCCATATGAGAGTTCCCTCTCTTTAAGTGGGGAGTTCCCTCTCTTTAAGTGGGAGGGACAGGTGCCCCTCATCTAGTAGCTACATAACTACCCCACTCCCTATTTAAGCTCCTTAAGGGGAAGCTAGGGGGGACTCTTCGGAGAAAATTGTCACAAGAGATTCTTAAGAAAAGCAAAGATAAGGAGAGAAGAAAAGAGAAGTGCTCAAGGGAAGGCAGGGAAGGAAAAGAAGTCTCACTAATACAGGTAGGAAAAGGAAAGTCCTCTCCATGAATACTTCCTATATGTCTTCTGCTATGTATCCATCTTTCTCTCTCTTTTATTTTCAGTTTTGAGAAAGGAAATAGAGGGAAATAAACCATCTACGACCAGGTGCCTCTACTTAGTTGACTATGGTCCCTCTTCCAAGACAAAGCTTGGGATTAAACCATCTACAGTCTAATTCTCAAAGGTTGATTATGGTTCCCTTCAAATGAAAATGAAGAACAGGGGAATAAAATCGTCTACAATCAAATATGCAATTTGATTTACTACGGTTCCCTTCTTATCTACAAAAACCCAAAGGATTAAGGCTGTCTACAATCATAATTTCATTTGATTGACACACCTTATTTTGAAGAAAGGAGTGAGAAGGAAATCTTCTTTGTATCAAA